AATCGGTCTAAGGGCACTTTTGACCCCCAAACCCGGCTATACCCTTTGGCGGTTGAGATTTTCGTTACTCATAGGTGAAGATCTGTGTGGCTTTAGGGAAAGTTTAGATAAGGGTTACCCACGCAGCGCGAGATAAAAGATGATTCTGAGAAAAGTATGGTACAGCTGCAGGGTGCACTTCGGTAAGACCAGACTCCACATTCCAAAGGGTAGATAAAATAAATGAACGCGAGCTTCGAAAAGAACTGGTGTGCATACGTAACATCTCAGTTGTACGTGGACTGATTTGATTGATTTTGGTTTTATTCGAAAGCTTATATGCGGTTTACATGAGAAAAATGCCTTTAAATTTAGAAAATATTGTAGGCGTGTTGATATATTCATGAAAGAAGCCTCAAGGCACCCAGTGTTACCTAACAACGCCGGGCAAGCCATTAACAAAACCATATTCCAATAGAAAAGCCCCGGCTACGCAGCCGCTCCCTCCGGCTCATAACACATTTTACATGATTTCATATTTTTGGATGTACCTATCTATAATACTTCTTAGAAGCATTAAATAATATCCATAATGTCCACATGTTATCCTGCTGTTTATTTATCCCAATATTATATAGAAGGAAGTACAATAATTTTTGCTCTCAAATGATTACTCTAACACCAAATTAAAGTAAAAGAATCACTCTCTTTCGTTATTCATATTTCTTTAACACAAGTGATACATTTACATGTGCAACAAATAACCATAAACGAAAGTGTTCCTCCGTTCAAGATAAACATCACTCTCTAGTTCACTTTCAAGTGAATTAGCCATCTTGATTTTGATATTTGAAAGCAAGATTTACTATATAAGAAAAATATATAGATTTTATTTAAATAGCTTTTTTTGGTCTTTCTCCAAATATTGTAGTACCTACTCTGACACTCGTACTGCCTAACTCCACCTAAACAAACTTAGCGTTATTTCCTGATATTATACTTTAAATTTTTGAACATACAATCGGACCTCTATAACTCAAACTTCTATATTCAGCTGCGAAAAATCGATTAACTCCATAAAACAAAATGTGTAAATTGCCGTTTAAAATAGAAATTTAAATAAATGTTGTAAACTAAAATAAGTACAAATTTTGCATATGGCAAATGAAAAAAAAATATAAAATTCAACCTTCAAAAAACTTTTTAAAACTGTCTTCACAGCTTTTTTCTTTTCATCAGAAGTAATTATTTTATTACTTTTTGGATCACATTAACATTTCATATCTAGAATCAATTTTACGGATATTAAAATTCCTTTTCCATTTTTATATTCCAGATCTTTTGTTTGGTCGTGCTTTTAAATATTTCAGGCTCATTTGATAAGATTACAATTTCTTTTTCATCCAATAGAAGTATTTGTTGAAATGTTTTCACTACCATAATCAAACGACGAATCCGAAGAAATGTGTAAACGTTTTCTTAAGCTTAACTTTCTGAGTTTTTGATAATAAATTGTATTAAAAAAGCCAAATGATTTATAATTTCTCTCATCTATGTTACCCTTAATTTCATCCATTTTTATCAAAGTTTTTCCAAAACCAAAAGAGAACTATGATTTAATTTTTAATTAAATTCAAGTGGTATAGAACGTATATGACTTTTATTTTTTAAATGAAAGTATAAATTTTTAAGTATCCATCACGACTACGCTGACAGGCATACTTTTTCTTATTGAAAACAAAATCTTACAACTCCTTTTGGAGGAGGAAAACCCTCTACAACGATGTAATTTTTTTCGTAAAAAAGAAATTATGAAATTAAGATATATTTCATCATAATCCGAGCATACTTAATTTGTGCACATGTGCACTTTTACAAATACGGTACTGCTCACAGTTAGGATGAAAAAGTTATTTTAGTGAATTTGTTTTTAGATGGTAGTATATTATGCTTTTTTAAATTTAATTTTTTTATAATGAGATAATACAGTTTACCGTTCTTATCTAATATTTACCATTATATAAAAAAAATTACTTAACTGAATTCTCTATAATCTCTATAAGTCAAAAATTATAATTTCCTACCGTAAAACATCGATAATTTAAACAAGAGACAAAAATAATTTAAAGCTGCATGACATATAAGTAATGTAACTTAAAGAGTCTAGCAAGATAAGCATGGCCAAATGGCCTCCACGCCAATTCTTGCTGTTATTACTTGGTAAACAATGTTCCTCATCTGAAACATTATTGTGCAAAATTTCAGATCGCTACTCGCCCGTTTAAGCCCTTAACTTTATTATTTTCTTTTCACGGTTAAATACAACAACCGGGAAAAAATAGCTACTTATTAATTTGTATGTACAGGTACATACTCACGGCTGATCTCTTGCCTATTGTTTCAATTTAATATAATATCCCTTTATTTACGCATTTATTTTGCTAAACGAAGTTTTTGTTACGAAATTATTTTAAAAAAGTTTATTCTCTATACGCATATTACAAGTTTCACATTCTTTAAATTATTTAACTATGTTCTACCAATTTGAGTATTTTCTGGATTTTAAATATAATAATTCGATAACGGAGCATTATGTTTGATTCTTTGGCAGTGATAACTCAAAGGATTGTTTGCAAAAATCAAAAAATTAATTATTATTTTTCCATACTTGATAATTGGTTTACATTTTGGAGAAAAATATATGAAATAAAGTTAATATGTAACTATTTTTTCCCGGTTGTTGTATTTAAATATCTTAACTAGTAATCGAGAAAAAAAATGATAAAGTTAAGGGCGTTTACCCCCATATTATCCTTAAACGAGGGGGTAGGGATCTGAAATTTTAGAAAATAATGTTTCAGACGAGGAACATTGTTTACCAAACAATAACACCTAAATTGATGTCGGGCCATTTTCTCATGCTTACCTTGCTAGACCCTTTATAGAAATTGATTACAATGAGAAACATATTATGACAATTTTTACAGCAACTGTAATTTGTTTGTTTTTTTTATTAAATCTTGTAGTAACCAGTCAGCCTCTTATTGTATTGCCGCCAATTCTCTGTTTTAGTACAATTTTATAATGCTATCTGTGTTGAAAAGTATTGTACATTAAATGCACAGCAAAATTACAGATTATTATGAATAAATTTTATCAATATTCTTATTGAATTTGTTTGAAAACTTCAAAAATTGTTTGAAAATTCAACAAATCTTATTCTGCTTCCTTAAAAAATCAAGATCATTTAAGAGTTCAATTAAGAAAATCCAAGACAACCAATATAACAGAAGACACGAATCGCAACAAATTGTTGTTAATTATCATCAGCTGCTGCTAATAATCACCTTCCAGCAATGACTTTAAAAAACAATAAAAATTGTGGTGCATTTGTAATTTAAACATACTTATATTTCAAATTCGTTTTTTTAGATACCTCTGTAAATCGAAAATTGGTTACTGAATCTCTGTAAGTTGTAACCTCTATAACTCAGAACATTTTTCATTTCTCATCAATTTCTACTTATCGAGGTCCGACTGTAGTGGAATAAAATTTTTTATTAGATTTACCGCTTGCTCATAATCACTTGACATTCCCATTGATAATTCCATTTTACATACGTCAATACCTAATTCTTGTGAAACATTCTCTCTACATTCTCTCAAACATAAGAAATCAGGATTTGGACCATTGGCGATATCGTATCCATACTTGCCTATTGTCATAAGCCCAATAAATTCCAAGTTTTCACAATTATCGATAATATATTTTACAAGGGAAGAAACATTTGAAACTTCACAACCACTTTTTTCTGAAAATATAATGTTGATAGAGACTTATTTAATTTAGAGTTTTTGAAGAGGATATCTAAACCATTATCATCTTCTACTTATAGGATAAATACCTTTTTCTGCACTAGTATTTACTTGTATCATCACTTTTAATTTTATGTCATTATGTTTCCTAAATTTAGGCCAAGAGGTATTCAGTGCAGATGCAATTTTTTCATTATCTATTGTTTCTATGACATATAAATTTGGAACACTCAATAACTTGTTGACTTTATTGCTCTGTAAATGACCAATGAAATGCCAATGTATCTCTTGACAATTCGCTAAAATACTCGAGTGATTTCCCTTTTCTGCTAGTTCATTTACATAATTTTCACCAAAATGTCTTTGACCTGCTTCATAAGCTTCTATAATTAATTCAGGAGGTTTTAATTTGCTTACAGCCACTAGACATGGTTCAAAATATTGATATTCCTGTAAAATAAGTTAGTAGTTCTACTAAATGTGATAGAAATATATGTACATATACATATAAGAATGTATGTGTAACATAGGAATATATTATACATATACAATACATATATATATACAAATATGAAATAAAAACATACTAATGGTCTTTTAGTAGAAGCAGTCAAAATTTTATCACAAACTAATTTTAAATTTCCTGCCACATTTGTCATCTTTATACCTTTCTCTTCAGTGTTTATCAAGATATTTAATAGTACGTAAAACTTAAAGAACAAAATGTTTTGTTACACATTGAACTTAATATGTGCGTTAATATAAATCAATCACCACATGTAGTAAATAAATTATGTATACTACACTATCAAATTGCACATAACAAATACAGCCAGCAAAACTGTATCAACAGTATATTTATTAGAATTTATATTTTAGGACACATGTCTTATAATCGGATGACTGCCTAGTGACAGCTGGTGACAGCAGAGATACCATAAATCTCTTCCACTTCCCTCCAGGGTGCGCAAGGGAGTCAGAGCAAAACTCTAGGTTGACTTCAGCGATAGTTGCGGAAAAAATAGGAAGCTCGTATACAAGGATAAATAGATCCTTGTCTCTCTAATGATGCTGTGACAGAGAGAGCGATATAATTGCAGGAGAGACAAAGACAGAACGATGTCAAACGTCTGTAATTTTCCAATCTAGAGACGCGGTAGCGTCTCGGCGCCAAGTACATGAAAAATTATCCGTCACTTCGTATATACTGGCGTTGGAGCTACCACGTATATTTTAGAGGAGAGATGGTCCATTCCAACCTAACTTGAAACTTCTTTCATGAATATCTCAACACGCCTGCAATATTTTCTAAATTTAAAGGCATTTTTCTTATGTAAACCGCATATAAGCTTTCGAATAAAACCAAAATTAATAAAATCGGTCCACGTACAACTGAGATATCGTAATATCATGTCATGAATCGGTCAGAAATTGTAGATTTTTCTTCTGATTCAGATTCTGATTCTTATTCTTATTCTTTTCGTCAACACATAGCTAATAGGAGCCTAACGCCATTCGTCGATTCGTCGACTCTCGGAATCAGTCAAGCATTTGAGGGCCCACAAGCTGCCGTATTTAGGGTTGAAGCCCAATCTAACTCGCGCGAGTAAGGGATGATGGCGCCAGTGTCGTTACTACACATACATATAATCTGTGAGACACACACACAACAGTATGGTCCCACGTATGTGTATTTATACTTGCTTTAAAATTAATCTAAATAAAAAAATAATTATAGGGAAAACAACACAACTTATACAAAATTAAATTTATTATTAACGGAAAACATTGAAAAAACAATAAAGAATCTAAAATTCAATTGTATAAAATATACAGGGTGTTCCAAAAGTCAGGGAGGAGCCGGAAATGGGGGGTAGCTGAGACGATTCTGAACAACAATTTCCTTTGCAAAAATGTCGGATGGGGCTTCGTTTTTGAATTATTAACGAAAAACACTGACCAATCACAGCGTCCGAGGAGCGCGCGCTCAGAGCATAGGCGTAAGCGAGGAGGCTCGAGCCAGCGAACAAGCGGACCGGTAAAACAGCACGCGTTAATACCAGTGTGAGGTTGTAGCATATGAAACGTCTGATTTATAATGAAAACTTTAAGCAAATATAACTTTTTCTTTATATTAAACGTTACTGATCAAGATAGGAGGTATCGAAATCTGTACATTTAATGAAAAAATTACACGTTTCCTACCTTCAAATACGTAATCGTTAAAAAATTTCAATGACAATTTATCATAATAAATTTGAATCTAACTTTAACATGAGAATCGTTAAAATGTACAACTTACAACTATAAGAAAATGGGTGAAAATATGTAAATGTTTGAAAATTAAAATGAAGGAGACTCTAAACTTTGTATTAATGCGTCAAAGATCTGAAGGATAGAAATATTTTTCAAGAAAGTGGATAAAAAAATTTGCCAATACAAAATGAGGCATTTCATGTGTTACAACGTAAAAATACCAGTAATAAAAATGGCTGAAATTAACCCTTAAATGCCCTAAGTTTCAAATTTGATACCGAACTTTTAAATCGAATTGTACACTTGCAATTGGTTTGTTTTTAATATTTGGCTGTATGTATGTTACCATTGCATAATGTTCTTTTGAACAAAAGTTGAAAAAATAAACGTCAGCTGTCAAAATTGTTCAAATCATAAATACATTGATATTTTTTAAAATTTGACCTGTTTGTCAACTTACAAGTCAGGGCTGCGGCGAGTGGGTCATCGCACCGATCCTGGCCTGGTACCTGCTACGCGGCTCAGCTGATGGGACGGCCGGTCACTGAACTCACTGCACTTTACTCAGGGGTTTCCACGGTCACTGTCACTTTGCACCGAGTCCTTTAAATCCGAGTCCTTTGCACCCAATATTTGGTGGCCCCGAAAGGGGCCGATTTGTGAACCTGATTCACCTACGTTTTAAAATTTGGTGGCCCCGAAAGGGGCCGATTTGTATTATTGGAGAAAGGGCTCGACGTGACCGCCGTTTTCTCTTAGACACGTCGTCGCCCTTCGAATAACGTTCCGGAGGATGCTGGGTTGCAGCTTCACCAGCGCGGCGTGGATTCGTGCAACGACTTCCTCGGACGTGGAAACCGGCTGCCGGTACACTTCATTCTGAAATACGAAATATGTATAAAACGTAAAATAAATTAACAGTTTTACTAGAAATAATAGAGTAGTAGCAGTAAATGTACCTTCAGGTACCCCCAAAGGAAGAAATCCAAGGGGTTTAAATCCGGTGACCGCGGGGGCCACGGAACAGCACCATCGCGGCCGATCCACCTGTCTTGAAAGGCTGTATTTAAATAGGCCTTTGCACTTGCGGCGTAATGGGCGGGTGCTCCATCGTGTTGGTAAAACATGTTCCTCCGGGTCTCCAATGGAATTTCTTCCAGGAGGCCCGGAAGAACATGCTCTAGAAACACCTTGTACGCTGGGCCGTCCAATCTATCGGGTAGAATGTACGGCCCAACAATGAAGTCGCCGCAAATGCCGGCCCATACATTGATCGACCAGCGGTATTGGGACGCCCGTGGTCGAATCGCAGACGGATTCCGCTCGCTCCACACATGCGAATTGTGGGCATTGAAGCACCCCTCCTTGGTGAAGAGTGCTTCGTCTGTCCACAACACGGAGTTGCAGAACGCCGGATTCTCGTCGATTTTGCCCAGCAGCCACCGAGAATACGCCACCCTTTTTTTATAATCCTCTGGGAGTAAATTCTGCACCCGCACATATTTGTATGGGTGCAGAGAATTCTCCCGAAGAATTCGGTGCACCGACGACCGGCTGACGCTGAAATACAACATAAATAGTTAGTATGAATAGAATACATAATTCCGACAACAAACACGAAAGCGGTAAAAAGTTAAACTTACCCCGAGTTGCGGCTTACGTCGCGCACACTTTGGGTGGGATCCTCAGCAATCCGATCCAGGACGTCTTCCTCCGAATTCGCGGAACGTAGGCGAGGGCGTCCCGAATCGGCAGACTTCGGTTGGAGGACCCCATCTGAATAAAACCGCGTTGCCAATAGCCGAATGCTCTTGGCAGTCGGCGGCCGCGATCGCGGATATCGTTGGCGATAACACCGCGCTGCCTCCTCCGAATTGCGCCCACACTCCACATACACACAAAATATTTCAAACCATTCTTGATTAGAGCGCACCATTTTTTTTTCAGTCGAAACTGAATTCTGGAGAAAAACAGTTTTATTTCCAGAAAACACTCCCACCCTTGTTCATTACCTGGCCCCCATCCCTTAGGAACGTTTCTTTCTTAACGAAATGCAACGTCGCGTTGTCTGAACACATGTTTCGCCGAACAGTCAATCGTAAGACAAACCCATTGCCGGTCGACTTGGAGGTAGCGGCCGTCTACGTTGAATACCTCGTTTTTACAACCACTTCCCCAAGGCAGGGTAACTCCGCGACCTTGTCATAAATTTTGCGATAGCCACGCAGCGGCCGACTAACTGCTTTCGACAACCCCTACACGTGACGCACCGTTCTTTCCTATCAATGGGGAAGGTATTCCAAGTTTCGGCGGAAAGTAAATGATTTTAATGTTTCTTAAAATCCAAAAATCACAAACTTCAGGCATATGGAGAACTGACACTCGAAACCGTTTGAGATAATACATGCCTTCAAATATTGCGATGTTTGCTTATTTTCGGGAATTATTTTGATATTTGCAAAATAAAGATTTATTAATCATTTGGAGTATTATCTCGGTGGCTGCTGGGCACAATCGACAATTAAAGATTTCATTATAAATCAGACGTTTCATGTGCTACAACCTCACACTGGTATTAACGCGTGCTGTTTTACCGGTCCGCTTGTTCGCTGGCTCGAGCCTCCTCGCTTACGCCTATGCTCTGAGCGCGCGCTCATCGGACACTGTGATTGGTCAGTGTTTTTCGTTAATAATTCAAAAACGAAGCCCCATCCGACATTTTTGCAAAGGAAATTGTTGTTCAGAATCGTCTCAGCTACCCCCCATTTCCGGCTCCTCCCCGACTTTTGGGACACCCTGTATATACAAAAAACATATTTATTTACATAATAAAGTGTCAACATTCATACATATACGTTCATATAAAATATATAAAAATACAAATGCAACAATAATATAAAAAAGCATATATATTCACATAATAAAGTGTAATCATTTAAAATCAGCGAGAATCGTGGCTTTGCGCCTAAGAACATGATCATTCATGATCTTAGTCGAAGAACCGTGACTCTTGCTGGTTTTAAATGTTTACGTATATATATATATATATATATATATATTCATTCATACATGGGGGTAGCTGAGACGATTCTGAACAACAACATTTTCGCAAAAGAAATTGTTCAGAATCGTGTCAGCTACCCCTTATTTCCGGTTCTTACAGGAGTTCTGGGACACCCTGTATATTCACATAATAAAGTGTAAACATAAAGTATAAGTTTCATACAGGACTGGATTCATTATTAGGGAAATAAAATATGTAAAATAAAATAATTAAAAGAAAGCAAATGTAAAATATTAAAAATTGAAACATAATCCCATTAAAACATGAATCCAGTTCTACGTGCATAATTTTCCACACTCGCATTAATAGGTAGCGTTAGAAGTGGATCCGATTCCATTCTCTCTTCGAATCCACTTATAACGCGATTTACTCTACTTATATATTTTTCGACAACATATATGATACAATTATGCATGCTATATGTTGTTAAATTATTGCCATGTTCGGAGGATATGAAATCAAATTTTATATGCTCCGAAATTTGGTATTTAAGAATTGTAACAAGCCTGGGAATATGTGCCATGTTCTAAACATTACCATAGCAAACAGATACGACCTTAGAAATTAAAGATATGCATCCACTATGCATCGACGTATATTCTCCGACATCGTTAGTGTTATAATATAAATGTAAACAAATTCTACAACAAATTTTCTTACGAACAATTCGCGATACATATAGAATGGCAGCCTGAATAGATAATTCAGGTGCACTCGAAACATTAAAATTTAATGTAATGGAAATAGTATCATCCATCTATGCACGTGAAGCAACTGACCAAATTTTTTTTAAATTGACTAAAAAGCCTCCGGATTCTTCATATTCGCAATTGGTATCCCCACGTACAAATTGCGAATATGAATTTAGGAGTAGTTTGCGGTAATAGCAATGGAAGGTTCTGCATGTTAGATTCGTATTTCGAACACCATGCTGTCTAATTTGACCGAAAAAATTCTCAAGGCCATCTTGATTAAAATTACGCGGAATAAATGAATGAAATCCAAGACTCTGCAGGTGTGATTTAAAAAATTTTAAATTCCGAAGAATCGTCACCCAATTCTGCAAAACCTTCGGACGCTCCTTATCCGCAGGCTTTCTTTTAATAAACTTCATGCTGCGAAAAACTGAAATTGCTTTATCCCAAACATTAGTTAGGGTCGTATCTGTTCTGTGTGTCCGATTCGCAACTCTACTATTGACACTGTCGAACGTATTATTCATGAAATGAATAAGTTCAGCAGTGTCAATCCCTTGATCCGACATTTCCCGCGTACCACACATACTTTTGGCCTTGTTACGACTCGCAAATGTCATAATGGATCCAACTGATCGATTAAAAACTTGAGCGCAATATTTAACTTTTATTTTCGGAATTTTTGAAGAAATAACATGTTTTGCAGTAAGTTTCTCCAGGAGTCGGTTCTCCGAAGAAACATTACTGCTATCAATAAAATATAAATCTTCCACGTGTAACCATTTGGCCACCCGTGAAATATCATGTAAATTAAAGCTCAAGTTTTTCGTCAATAAATTGTTCCGGACACATTTTAATAAGTGGGGTAGATCAAACAGCGGTACGATTATGTTACTGTCGATTTCAATAACATCATGCCGCAGTGTATTTGATCTCTGAAAGGCATTTCTTCGCGATGAATCTAATAAGCTTTGGATAGCTTTGCAATTTGTGCTTCCTTGGTCACAAACTGTTGCTACAACTATTATACCGGCCTGACTTGCACGGCGAACTATTTTTTTAAACATACGAACAAGGTTCTCAACTGAGCTGGAACCTTTACAAAATGAATATGCAACAGGTTGTTTCCAAGGTTGCACACCATGTATGCCTTTGAGCATCCACACTGTGGCATGATCCGTGATATCCAAGTTACGCGAAAACCCGGAATCTACAAATCCATCAATAACATCTATTGTAGTATTATACTGCAACGACGGTGCTAAACTAATTTCATCAAAAATCAGACATGCGTATCTGCTTTTTGGGTCAGTAAATAACTCGCACTGCTGTTTGAGTTCCTCAAAAATATTATCGCAAATTCCAGCTTTTAATGGAATTTGCGGTATTAGTTTCCGAAGAGTTTCGATGCTTGGCAAAAGAAATAATTTTGCCAAATATCGATACGCTTTGGAACTTTGCTTATAAATAAATAAAGCTAATATCTTCTCTTCTTCGGTGAAGCGTCGCGTCGATTTTTGTTTGTCCGCGTTGCGCATCTGGGCCAAGAGCATCGCGTGCAGGGGTGTTGGCAGGCTTTCTAAAACCTGATGAACACCGGTCTGCACGAGATGCTCAATCTTCCCGATGCGTTGTCTTACCGAAGACCTCCGACGCCTCAATTGCCTCGCAGATTTCAAAATCCTGGCCACAGCCTTGTAGATCTTGAGCTTCCTGGGTTTGGTCAAGTTGCTCGACCTAATCATTTTCAGGATGTCACCTGTGGAAAGAAAATATATATAAGTAATGCATTTATGTATCACATTGAGATTAAAGGAGGGGCGTTGAATTAGTATAATCTGCTTCAAATATAGCGCTTAATTTGTTTCAGATGGCGCTTTCATATAATATCACAACCTACTCTAGTACTAGCAATGTTGAAATAAAAATGGCAACAGTGCGAGAGTCCGGCTACCCTATCACTGATAGGCTATCAGCTTCGACCAGCCTCCTGGCCTCTCGCTACAATTGGCTACATATTGGAAGATAGGACTCCCGATCTGGTTTTTTGTGGTGTTGCCACGTTTCTCAGCACGGCTAGTACTAGAGTCGGCTGTGATAATATATAGGCGAGTAAAAGGATATTCTCCTTTTTCGGTTTTTTCTCGGATGGAACGTATTATTAAGAAAGTCTATCTCCGAAACTATCATAGCCCATACGGCACCTTTCGTTGCAAATATATGCAAATATATTCCTTGCAAGTCTATCGGAGAGTTCTGTCAGTTTCTATCACAATTCTAGACACGTAAGCACATATCACTTCACACAAGACTAACGTGAATCAACTTTATTTTACTTATTTTGCTATGTCAGTATGTATGAAATAATATAATAAAATAAGAGAGGTACACATGCACCAAATAAATATGTGCTTACGTGTCGAGACTTGTTGTGATGGAAACAGACAGAGCTTTCCGGTAGATATAATATTTAACTATTACATCTAGTATTTTTTAAAATATTTAATACCTTTAAGGCCTATCCTAATAGCTGGTTGAACTTGATTCCTTTTGTCAGTGCAACCTGTAACTGTAACAAAGAATTAATAGAAGCACTTTTTAAATGACACGCATAATACTAAATACCTATCATAACTAAAAAAAGGAATGCAATAGAAGATAATATTATTGTAAGGTAATGCACTCACCTCTGGATGATCCAGGAAGCACATTATAGGCAAGTGCGTCGAAGTCTCTCCTGGTCCCAGGTCCCACGTTGTCCTGGTATCCAACAGTGAGCACAGGTTGACCTATATTAACAAAATTATATAACATTATATATACACTTAATGTTGGAAGTCTTCTCATTTATATGTGGCATATTAAGTGTATCAAGATCAAAAACTTACGTTCTTCTTCTTCTTCAATTTCCATTACAAGTTCCTCCTGTTGCTCGATAGATGTGGCAGGTGCTAATAGAATTTAATAAATCTTTTCATTAATAATTGTTAAATATAGTTTAAAAAGTTTATAGTCAATTTTTACCTGATAAGTTGCAGCTTGGTACTGCATGACTTGTAAGCTTTGATCCAACGCGGTATTGAATTTCGAAGTGGTCCCCATAAACCACTCGATTTCTCAACCGGTTGGGAGGGAGTTGAAATAGATCTTCCGTTCCACAAGCTTCAAACCATTTTAAACATCTGTCGCTGTCCTTCGGCAGACAGGGGAAGTTGAGCATCGGCTGCCTGGTGTTTGTGCACCCCAGTACAGCAGATTTTTTGTGGGACCTATAAATACATATTTACATAAAGAAAAAATTAATAATTAAAAATTAATAATTTCGAAATTTTGTCTAGATATGATTTCAATAAATAATCAAATCTACTATGAGCCGAAAAGTATTCGGACACCTTTTAAATGCTTTCAAAATGCAATTGAAATGAATTGAAAGGAAAGGACAAAGCAGGACAAAAGAAAGCACGGGAAAAACCCACCCTGCCCTTTCGTATTGTAACAAAATATATAAAAGCCGTATTTTTTCTTTTAGTAATTATATAGTATTTTTATAAAAATAATAACTATTTACCTCTTATTATTATCCATATGTGTGAACTAAAAACACTATCGCAGAACTGACAGCACACAGCACTTACTTGCACCATGCACTTGCATGCACTCGCTATCACGTTATGACCATATGGAGTTGAAATTTTGCCGCACTTTGCCGAGCGCGCTCGCCATAGAATAGACGTACACAGAATATGAACTCAATGGCGCGAAAGGAGTGACAGTAGCGCCATCATCCCTTACGCGCGCGAGTTAAAATCGGGCTTCAAGTTCACAAGAGTAGAGCTTGTAGGCCCTAAATTTGACTTCCAGGCCACGGACATCTAGGCAAATGTCTAAACAGTCTCAGTTTGTGGTTGATACACTATTTAGCTTCTTCATTTTACCGCCAAAGTGCGGTGGAAAAAGACAGCAGCCTCGCAAAAGGAGGACACAACTCTCCAGGACCCCTCGCTCCCAACCATGGCCGAAACGACGGCAGGGAGCAAGAGGTCCCCTCCTACAGCTAGACGGAGCGCCCGCCTCTCCCTCCACAAGGCCGGGCACTCCTCCAGATGGCACACGGGCGACTCCTCGCCCCCCATCTTGTGCAGGTACTCACCGAAACAACCATGTCCGGTGGGCACCTGCGTGAGCCTTTACGTGAGTCACCCGTGCCGGCGATCCAGCCAAGCATCGAAGCTCGGCAGGACCGCCCCCACCGCACGCTGCCGGGCGGCGCTTTTCGTGGGCAAGCTGCCACCACTGGCGTTGGTACACCATGACCGCCTCGTCCTGCGGATCGTCCTCGTTCCGGCGGAGGTCTTGCAGACGCCGATACACATCGGCGTGTGCCTCCGCCTGGAAATCGAACGGGACGACCCCTGCCCAGGATGGCCGCCGCCTCATGGGAGATCGTGCGATACCCCCGTGCGATTCTGATGGCCATGCGCCGCTGCACGTGCCGCAGCAGATGCCGGCCACGACGGCAGGCCACCAGATCGCGCGCCTACACGGGAGACCCATAGAGGGCCATCGATCGCACGACTCCGAGGTAGAGGCGGCAGACTCTCTCTTCCGGCCCCCCGAGGTTGGCCAAGAGACGACCCAACAGGGTCGTCACAGCCTCAATTCGGGGTACCAGGCGGTCGAAGTGCTCTTCGAACCGCCAGCGGCTGTCCAGGTCGAGGCCCAGGTACTTCATGCGGCCCTCGACGCGGACAGCCGCATCGCCCACACGGATCCAGGTCTGGGTTAGGTCATGGAATATGACCACCTCCGTCTTTTGCGGTGAGATCTGGAGCTCCAGAGCCCGGATCCTTGCGATTACAATCGCAATCCCCAGTTCCGCCAGCCTGTGGACCCTGGTACCGCCTACCACGATGATCAATGTGTCGTCTGCATAGCAGACCACAAAGACACCGGGTGGGAGGAGCCCGCGCAAGACCGAGTCGTACCCCAAGTTCCATAATAGGGGTCTTAGAACAGACCCCTGGGGCACTTCTCGGCTGACCCACCAACGCATCGGCACCCCGCCTCTGCCGGGGTACTCGATCCATCTGTCCGACAGGTAGTCGGCCAACATGACCCGTAGATAAGGAGGCACTCCGTGTTCTCGGAGCGCCTCCCGGATCGTGCCCCAGAGCAGGGTGTTGAAAGCGTTGGCGATGTCGAGACTGATCGCCAACGCCACCTCACTCCGGGAGACCGCCCGGTCCGCGAGAACATGGACGTGGTCGATCGCATCAAGCTTCGACCGGCCCTCGCGGAAACCGTATTGGCAGTCAGCCAACTGCATACTCCCGTTGGACAGGCCCCTCGACAGGCGGGCAGCGAGCACACGCTCAAAGAGCTAGCTCGCCTCGTCGAGGAGGCAGATCGGCCGATGCGCCGAGGGCGAATGCCCTTTTTCGGGACAAGCACCAGCCTCACCTGTTTCCAGGCCAGCGGAACCCGCCCCGATTCTAGTCAGCCATTAAACAGCCGCCTGAGCCGGGGCTCCAGGACGCGCAGGGCCAACGCGAGCGCCCGCCCAGGGATACCGTCAGGCCCCGGTGCCGTGTTATACGGGCCACCATGCGCCCGACGGCCGTCTCGAGCTCCCCGTCGGTGACCCCCAGGCCGGCGGACCAGTTACTAGCCTCCGCAGGCAGGAGCGGCCACGGGTCCTCCTCCGGGTCTACCGGAAAGATGGTATCTTCTACGCGCTCCAGAACGGCGGGGACGAGGGACTCCGTGATCGGGGGGCAGCCGGCCGCATGCGTCCCAATACAATGCGATATGGCCGCCCCCATGAATCCCTGTTCAGGGTCCCGAGGAGCTCACCCTAAGCGGTCGCCTTGGCCCTCCCGATGGCGCCCTGGAGGTCCACCGTGGCTTGTCGGTAGACCTCGTACAGCCTAGTCTCCCCCGCCGGGTCGCGGTTGCGTCTTCGGCGGGCCCTCGTGAAGTGTCGTCGGGCCGCGCTACACGTAGCGCGCAGCGGCCATCTCGTTGCTCCACCAGTAAGAAGCGGCCCGCCTCGAGAGCTTCTTGGCTCGGGGCATGGCGGCGTCGCACGCCGCCATCAACGACTCCTGAAGCCAATCGGCCTCCTGATCGACGTCCACGACCGGTCCAGCCGGGGCATCCGGCTAGGACGCGGCGAGGGCGGCCGCCATCAGGGCGTCCCTGTCCAACCCCTTGAGCGCCCATCTGCGCAGCGGTCGACCAGGCGCGCGGCGGCGAGCGGGATGGCCCTGCGAGGCAGCGGAAACATCCATAAGGATGTGGAGGTGGTCACTCAGGGACACCACCTCCTCCGCTACCCTCCACCCTGACACGAGACGCGCGGCGGCAGGCGTCGCCCACGACAGGTCGACGATCGACTCGCCCTGCCACCTCTCGCACGTGCTTACCAACCCACGGTTAAGTAACCGGAGGTCCGCGCTCACCGTCCACTCCAGTACGACACCGGGAGATACTGACCCTACGGTTACCCTTTACCGGGAGATACCAATTCCTAGCAGCTATCTGACTTCGCGTCAGAGTCGTCTGCGATTTCTACTCCATTCTCAATCTTTGGATCCATTGAAATAAACAGGACTAATCGTATCTTCTTCGATTCTTGAATTCAACCCACTCGCAGGGCTCACACGCACGTCGCTATCGCCCTAGCTCGTAACACGGACGTTCAGATCCTAATGACAATTCATGTAAAATGACTGCTCCACACTTTAGCAGTGACATGAAGAAGCTAAATAGCGTATCATCCACAAACTGAGGCTGTTTAAAAATTTGCCTTGATGTCCGCAGCCTGGAAGTCAAATGCTTGGCGTGGCCAGCTAAGGCATTCTCAGATCATCAAGACCCATACTTTCTCTCTCGCAGGCTTTTACATAATTTGTCAATTTAAAACTCTTACGATATGAGTACATTTCCATTGTATTGCGTTTTAAATTATTTCTAAGGTCATTCATCGACACCGATACCTTTCCTCTCACAAGCTTTCAGATAATTTGTCAGTTTAAAACTCTGACAATATAAGTACACTTTCATTATTTTATTTTTTAAAATAATTCTTATTCATAAAAACCTTGACCTTGCCTGGCCACGCCAAGCATTTGACTTCCACAGACTACGGAGATCTAGGCAAATGTCTAAACCAGAATTTCCCAACGAGGGGTCCACGCCCCGCAGGGGGCAATTTGATAGTTAAGGGGGGCAATTTAAAAATGGACTCGACACGACTTTAACCCTTTCGTTTTGGGTTATTTAAATGCAATGCTAGATATCGGTGACAAATTTAACAAAAAAGGCAAATTCCTAAAAAAATGCTGTAAATAATTATTAGGTATAATTTCGTTTGACGTTAAAAATATATCAACTGGGTAATTAGAGTCGTCAAGTAAACTTCGTCAGCAGGGGCGGACTGGCCATATAAGCCCATCGGTGCAATCACCGGTGGGCCGGTCGAGTTATGGGCCGGCCCACGTAGACAAATTTCTTTTAAATTAAAAAAAAATATATTTTGTGCATTATTGAAATACACGTTTTGTGTATGATAATAAAATTTGTAAAAAAGTGAAAATTTACCCCCCCTCCCCATACAGGGCCACGTTCAGATGAAATCACCGGGCCGGTCGGAACTCGCCAGTTCGCCCCTGTTCGTCGGGGATTCACCGCGGAGTGTGCCGCCTTTCGCGGGGAACCCCGGACGTTTTAAAACTCGCTAAACAACGCCGTTGTTCACACCTATTTTGCCCAACTCAACTTCTGTAGTGTTTCACATCATTCACTTGGTGTTAATTTGAAATAAGTGTCCGTCAATTAATCGTTGATTTAACAAATATATTTATATATATTGTATAGATATAATTGGTAAGTACTTGATTTTATTTATATTTATTTTAATTTTAGAAGCATTTAACTTTCCAGAAATTTTGGTCAAGTGAAAAAAAAATATCAGTAATGTATTATATACATTTAAATAAATATGTTTCTTTGCGCATACGTTTATTCTGTCATATTGAATTAATTTTAACACATATTTTATTATATTGTTTTTTAATTGATTTTTTTTAGCCCATAATAAAATGAGTGGAACAAACAAGAACAAAACTCGTCAATATTCGGAGGAATATTTAAAATTTGGGTTCATACCCGCTGTTCATGATGAGCGGATGCCGTTTTGTCTTTTATGCCAGCAATGCTTGACCAACGAATCAATGAAACGAGGTCGTCTTAAGGCGCATTTGAAGGCGAAACATAGTGCTCATATAAATTCAGATTTGAGTTATTTTAAAACTTTAATGGAAAAGTTTAAAAAAAGAACAACATTACAGTCTCTATTTACTGCTCGTTCTTTAACACATAATCGTCTTTCTGAGGCTAGTTATAAAATTTCTTTATTAATCGCTAAAACTGGAAAAAATCACACTATAGGAGAGAATTTGATAAAACCGTCAATATCAGCATTTCTTAAAACGGTTCTGGAAAAAGATGACAAAGGTATAAAAGCTATGCCACTCAGTAACAATACTGTTAGCAGAAGAATAGACGAAATGAGTGAAGATATTGAGAAACAACTTGTTGAAAAGCTGAAAACAAAAAATTTCTCAGTACAAATGGATGAATCAACTTTGAGAGACAGTGAGGCAGTATTGATAACCTATATAAGATATATTAATGAAGGACATTTTGCTGAAGAAATGTTGTTCTGTAAAAGATTAGAAAGCACCACTACCTCCAAAGATATATATAATAAGTTAAAAAACTACCTAGATGTCAATGATATACCAATGAAAAATATAACATCTTATGCTGCAGATGGCGCCCCTAATATGATGGGCAAGAAAAATGGCTGCTTAAAATTGATGAAAGATGCGAATCCAGAAATGATTATTGTACATTCATAAGGAAAACTTGGTAGCTAAAAATATCTCGCCTGTTCTAAATGAAGTACTACATGCAGTAATAAAGTATGTTAATGCTATTAAAGCTAATGTCAAATGTGAGCGTCTCTTCAAGTTATTTTGTGAAGAACAAAATGAAGACCATGTGAGACTTATACTTCATACTGAAGTAAGATGCATATCCAAAGGAAACTGCTTGAAAAGATTTATTGGCTCCAAAAATGTGAAGTAACTGATACCGCTGTACTTGTCAATCATTTGAATATTCTATCAGCTGATTTAAAAGAAAGATTTTCTGACTTAAAACAAATTGATTTCCCAACATGTATGATGCAGCCAATATTAGTGGATTTGTCTGATATATCAAATATGCAGTATCAAGAAGAACTCGCAGAATTGCAAAATGATGAATCAGTAAAAACTTTATTTAATATAAAAGGAGCGATGGCATGGCTTTATGAAGAAACTGAAATTAATTACCCGAATGCAACCAAATGTGCAAGAAAACTTTTCCTACCGTTTCCATCTTCATATTTAGCTGAATGTGGATTTAGTACTGTAAATGATTTACTGATAAAAAAAAGAAATTGACTTGAAATAACACAACATGGAGACTGGAGATTAAAGATAAGTAAATTGGAACTATTGGATTTAAAAATTATGTATGGGGGGCATAAAAATTTAAAAAATGTTAAGGTGGGGCATGGCCTAAAAAAGGTTGGGAAACACTGGACTAAAGAGTCTCAGTTTGTGGTTGATACACTATTTAGCTTCTTCATTTCACCGCCAAAGTGCGGAGCAGTCAGTTTACATGAGTTGTCATTAGGGTCTGAACGTCTGCACTGTTGAACACAGCATTTTAGCTGCGCATAGTTGGAAAGCACTGAATTTTTCATTGTGTTATACAGTGTCACCTTGCACTTTACTGGAAAGAACCTTCATGTACTGGCTGCTCATTTCGATTTCACATCTTTTTCTACTTTCTTGAATTTTGTTAGAGGAACTTGGCGTAATTTTCTTACCTTTTTGAAGTTTTTTTTATGGGGATCTCACTTCTTTTTACGCAGATAATTTCTATAGTGAATGACTTCAAATAATAGAAAATGGGAGATCAGTTTGAATCCTTTAAGGTTTCAAAAGTACGCGGAACGCATTGCAGGAAGTCTCATTGCAAGAAATTTATTAAAGAAAAAATGTAATCACTTTATCAGTAACATTTAAATGCAACAAGACTTTCTGTCATGTGTCGTGGGTACTTTTGAGAAATTAAAGGACTAGGTCTGACCTCTGTTTTTCTATATTATTGTATTATGTTTTACAAATAGTGGATCTCCGTTCATTTTCTCATTATTTAAATTTCTTGCAACAAAACTTTCTGCCATGCATTGTGTGTACTTTTGAAAATTCTAACGACTGAAACTGATATTGCAATACGATTAATTGTGCGTTACAAATAGTGGATTTCTTTTTTTCATTTCTCGCTTTATCTTTAACATTCGAATTTTTTGCAACAAGACTTTCTGCCATGCGTTCTGCATACTTCTGAACTTTATTCTAATACAATAAATTATGTGTTACAAATAGTTGATTTCTTTTTTTAATTTCTTGCTTCATCTTTAACATTGAAATTTCTTGCAGTGAGACATCTTGCCATGCGTTCTGTATACTTTTGGAAACTTCAAGAACTGAGGCTGGTCTCTTTCCTATATCTGGCTTCAGACACATTATGTATATTGTAGACTCTACGCTTACTATAATAAAAGACAAATGTATTTTTATTTTAAGCTCTACATTAACTTGCAAGTAAAATAAGGTTTGTATGTGTTATTTACAAATAAGATTAATGTCATATGAATAACGCACAATTTATTATATTACAATACCAGATTCAGTCCTTTAAGTTTCCAAAGTACACACAACGCATCGCAAAATGTCTTGTTGCTAGAAATTGAAATGTTAAACATGAAATGAGAAATAAAGAAAGAGATCCACTATGTGTAACGCACAATTTATTCTATTAGAATAAAATTCACAAGTACGCACAACGCGTGGCAGAAAATCTTGTTGAACAAATGCAAATGTTAATACATAAAGTGGAAAAATGTACAAAGAGATCCACTATTGGTAACGCACAATTTATTGTATTATAATTCCAATTTCAGTCCTTTGACTTTTCAAAAGTACACACAATGCATGTCAGAAAGTCTTGTTGCAAGAAATCAAATGTCACAAATGCAAACTAACAGTTACAGGTTAGAATTGAACGAGGGGCATGAGTGACAGCCATATTACAATTCCGACCGACGAGTCTTGCCGACTGATTCGGAGAGTCGACGAATCGACGAATGGCCTTAGCTCCTATTAGCTAATTGTAAGTGTTGACGAAAAGAATCAGAATCAGAATCAGAATCAGAATCAGAAGAAAAATCTACAATTTCTG